TTCTTCCTCCTCAGACCCCACCCTCAACAGGCTTCATCCATAAAATATCCTGGAAGTTTCCAACCTGGAGTTGGCAACCCTATGTCCTTTCCAGGCAACCTTCAGCCTACCTTTATCTGCCTGTTTGTCTTCAGGTTTACATCCTCCCCACGTCCCCAGCCTCTGCCTAGGGAAAGGGCAGTCTTTCCCTGCAGTGGGAACCAAAGCAGCTGACATCATTCTCCTCTCCCCCGTATGATACACACAACTACCCTATGAGGTATGTTAAGGTTGAAAGTGTGTGAATGGTCCATAATCCCCCAGGCAGCTTTTAAAATATGAACCTGGGATCTGCACACCATCCTCTGAAGCGCTCTCAGGCACATATCTGTGGCAGTAATGGGGTGACTGCTGGCACCTTTTCCTATCATTTTTTGCTTTGTGGTATTCTGCTTGTGGTGTGATCTGTCTTTTTTGTGGTGTGGCATGATTGTGTTATTGGGTTTGTTTCTTTTGAAGGGGAAGTGATGTGTTGTGAGTGAGGACATATTTTACCTCAGAATACACCAGGTCCCATATTCAACTGACAATTCCAACTTTGTTGTGGGGGGGGGGAGTTTGAGGTGTGGAATGGAGTGAAGTCCAAGCAGCTTCCATATGCAAATGACCTTGAAACACTGGCCCAATCAGAGAAGAGTGGGCTGAAGCGGCCCAGCCGTAGAAGCCTCGTCCCTACACTCAGTCTGCAGATGGGCCTCTCCTGTCAGAGGCCCAGAGCAGACTGAGCTGAACACGCTGGCCGGGGCTGACATGGCCAGGACTACACAAAGCAGCCAGCGTCTTCTGACTGACAGTTCAAGCCTCCAAACACTGTTGGTGTGCATTGGAATGTTGGGCCCCACTACGACTTTATATATAAGGGACAGATTAGTTTAATTTTCCCCTTTACAATGCCAATAAAGGTATGATGTTGATGATGATTGCAAGGGAGCAGCCATGTCAGTCTGTAGGGGCAGAATAAAATCTGAGTTGAGTAGCACCTTAATGACCAATTTTTTTCCCCCAGCATGTAAGCTTTTCTGAGTCAAAGCTCACGTTGTATCTGACAAAATGAGCTTCCATTTACGGTGCTACCGGAATTTTATATAAGGATAATATACCATAGTTGATGAAAGTGCTGGTTTGTCAGTATATCTGCTGGTCGTTGCAGGGATAAATGCTACTGATTGTGAAGCAGAAATATGGATGGTGTCTTTTTTTTTTTTTTAAACATGCAATCATAATAGGGTTGCCAAGGTCCCCTCTGGCCATTGTGGGTGGGGAATGGTGGGGGTAGCGTTGCCAGATCTAGGTTGGGAGACTCTTGGAGGTTTGGGAAGGACAGGGAACTCAGTGGAGAACAATGCTATACAGTCCCCCCTCCAAAGCATCCATTTTCTCCAGGGGAACTGATCTCTGTGGTCTGGAGATGAATTGTAATTCTAGGGGATCCCCAGGTCTGACCTGGAGGCTAAATCATGAACATGTACTGGGTTACTGGGGGGGGGCGGCGGAATCTTGAGTGGAGTCCACTTTGGCTACAAACATGTCTCCTTGCTTCTTTATCTTACCTTGCAAGTCATACAAGGCAAAATTGGTATCAGGGCTTGTTCATCTCTCATCCCTTCGCTTTAGACAGCAGTAGGATTTGGAAGGAGAGACAAAGAGACGAGCTGACACAGAGAGGAGATAGTATTGCCAGCTCTGACCTGGGAAATGGCTGGAGATTTGGGGGCAGTGTCTGTGGAAGGGGGAGCCTGGGGAGGGATTTCACCTAAAATCTATTAGTCTTGAGTCCTGTAGCTCCTAAGAGACCAACAGGAGTTTCAGGGTAAGCTTTCGAGAGACAAAGAGCAATTCTGCATTGGCTTTTCCCTCCATTGTTTTACGAAACCCATGTTGGAACAGAAATGCCCTTCTGCATTGCATACTGCTATTGCTTTCTTTGATGGTACCCTGTACACTGCATGCCGCTTTTGCTTTCTTTGATCATTGGGTTTTAGGGTACCTTTTGCATAGATTTATGGCCATTCAGGGGAGACTTTGCAGTCTGTATGGCATTGCCCCGTGGTATTTGAATGTGGTTTTGAGCTGCACCTTTTCCTCCCAGTTGAGAAAATATGGAGCGAATGCTAGATGCAGAATTGCCCAAAGTGACTCTCGAAACCTTACACTCTGAAACTCCTGTTGGTCTCTAAGGTGCTACGGGACTCAAATCTAACTGTTTTACCACAGACCAACACAGCTACCCTCCAAATCCAGAATATATAGTATACCACACTGTCTGCCCTTCAAAGCTACCATTTTCGCCAGGGAAACTGGAAATCAGTTGCAATTCTGGGAGAACTCCAGGCACAACCTGGAGACTGGCAACCCTAAGAGGGTCCACGAAAGGTATCTTGCCCCAGGATCCCCCTCCCAAAGCCAGAAGCTGGTAATCATCCAAGGCATCTGGAATATATTGCATTTCCCCCCCCCCACTTACTGCAAAAAAAAGCTTCCTTTTGAGAAAAAGTAGGAATATATCTCCAGTTTGGGGTTGCAGCCAAGTGGTGGCGTCTTTCCATAGCAACAGTCATGGGCATGGCAACACCTGATGATTTCAGACAGGAGGAATTTTAAAAAAAAGAATTAATCACCATTTTATAGTGCTTGTAGTCCAAAAGCAGACACAGGTGACCAAAAAAAAAAAAAAACCACCCATGAAAGCCGTCATACGAGGAAAGATGATCTCCCTTTCATCCTATTATAATAAAACAAAAAATAAATTAATAGAAGAATTACTCACCAAAATACAAGCATTGGAAGAAAAACACAAAAAGACAGGCTCTAAAAAAATTTATAAATTTCTCTTAACAGAAAGAAAAAAATTAGATTCCCTGGAAACCACCAAAATTCAAAAACAATTATTGTATATAAAACAGAAGTATTGGTATCGTCACCCAAAATCATTAAAATTACTAGCTTGGAAAATAAAATCACAAAATTCTCTCAGACAAGTCTCCTCCTTGAAAGATGTAAAAGGGAACATGGCAACCTCAACCAAAGATATTCTCCAAATTTTCAAGTCATTTTATCAATCATTATATCAAACTGATCATCCCTCATTGGACTCTATTAGAAAATTTCTCGATGTTAAGGATCACGTTAAAAAATTAACTCCACTACACAGCAAACATATGGATGATCCTATCACGTCTAAGGAATTATTATCGGCCATAAAATCGGTCAAGTCTAATAAATGCCCCGGCAGGGATGGTCTCCCTGCTGAATTTTATAAATCGTTTAGTGATGTTCTTATGGAACCACTTTTATCAGTATGCAATAACTTATTATCTCATGGTTTGATACCTGAGTCTTGGTCTCAGGCCAGAATTATCACTATTCCCAAAAAGGACAAAGATTCTCAAATGCCACAATCCTATCGTCCAATTTCCTTGCTAAATTGTGACTACAAATTATTCGCTACAGTAATGACAACCCGTCTAAATAAAATCATAGGGCACTATATTGAAATTTCCCAATCAGGGTTTATTCCGGCGAGAAATATAACAGATAATATTCGGAAAACTATCAACTTAATAAATTACAGTAAACAATATCTATCAAATATATGCCTTTTATCACTCGATATCGAAAAGGCTTTCGACAAGGTAGAGCCGACCTATTTAGTTGAAGTCTTGAAAGCAATGAAATTTGGTCCAAACTTTATCACGGCCATTCAAACTCTTTATTCTAACCCTACAGCCAAAATTACGGTTAATAACTGTCTGAAGAATTTCCCTTAACCAGAGGTACCAGGCAGGGTTGCCCCCTGTCTCCTCTTCTTTTCGCAATTGCCATTGAACCCTTGGCAAATCTAATTCATCATCATTCAGAGATTCCTGGTATTGAAATAAATAATCGGTCATACAAAATAAGTCTATTTGCCGACGACTTTGTCCTCTATGTAAACCAACCACAACACTCTCTGAAAACAATTGAATCAGTTCTTTCAAAATTTGCTTCGATTTCTGGCCTCCATGTTAATCAATCGAAAACGCTAATATATCCAATTAATATCACCCCCACAATTAAAAAATATATAACAGATCATTATACTTACCAATGGGTAACCTCTTCATGGCAATATTTAGGTGTCAAGATTCCGGTAGACCTGAAAGACATTTTTAAGATAAATTATTCAGAAACCTTAACAAAGGCAAAAAGGACATTAGAACAATGGACTTCCAACAATTTATCCTGGTTAGAGAGGATAAATACTTTAAAATCATTTCTTTTCCCAAAACTCCTGTATCTGTTCCGTACCCTCCCATTGTATATCTCACCCACTCAACTAAAACAATGGCAATCGACTTGGAATAATTTTATTTGGAACACCGGTAGGCCGCGAATTGCATTTCACACAATGAACAGACCAGTTAAACTGGGAGGTTTGGCTCTCCCTGATATTAAATCCTATTACGAGGCCACGATTTTATCTACCCTAATGAGAATTTTAAATTCAAATCCTCAACCGGAATGGGTTAATTTAGAAGAACATTATCTGGACAATAAATATTTTCAGACAGCAATTTGGTCTTCCACGACAAAAAACTCATACTCTATTAAATCTCATCCATTTTTATACCCGTTATTTAAAGTGTGGAGATCGAAACGAAAAAAACTAGCCCCTGATATTTCTTTAGCTTCTACCATATTAGGGCAACATTGGTTTGGCCCGTCCAACGCAGTCCCATCTTTTAAACAGTGGGCTAACTTTCGTTTCATCAAACTTTTTGATCTAACCAGTAAAGGAACCCTACTGAATAAAGCAAAATTAGAAACAAAATTCAATATCTCAATACCATGGTTCAGCTTTTTTCAACTACAGCATTTATTCGCAAATAGACAAATCACCGAATCCTGCAAGAGACCTCTGACGAACTTTGAATCGTTATCGATCAATTCAAATGGGAACCCTAAAGGTCTGATATCAAAACTATACAATATTCTTATTGATCCCACCCCTTACAAACCACCAGCTTATACTTCAAAATGGGGAAAGGCCCTTAAACAAACTTTGTCAGATGAATTCTGGCAATCGGTTTGGGCTTCAATAGCGAATACTAACAAAGCAATCAATGTACAACAACAAAATTTTAAAATTTTGGCACATTGGTACACAACCCCAGTGAAACTGAATAAAATAAACAACTCCATTTCGCCACTTTGCTGGAGAAACTGCGGAATGAAGGGCACATACATGCATTGTTGGTGGGACTGTCCCAAGATCCGTTCCTTTTGGCTCTTAATACTGAAAGAAATTTTAAAAATTACAGGTGAAAGCATACCTTTTAAGCCAGACATCATTCTTTTAAACTATTGGAAAGATTTTCCATTGCCTCAAAATAAAAAGGAATTACTTACCTTACTTTTTTCGGCAGCCAAAACGTCAATAGCTTCAACGTGGAAAAGTTCATCCCCACCCTCAGTATGTTCATGGTTTTCAAATTTATGGAACCACTTAATCATGGATAAGATAACCGACAAATTAGATGCCTACCTTCCGACTTATAAGTATGATGCCTTTTATGGTAGATGGTACCCAATCCTTGAGAAATTAGAGTATATTTTGGGTCAGATAAGCAGCGATCAACAAGACCAATATTATACCTTTATTTGTAAAGACTGGGTTATGTGTTAACGCAGGCAAAAGTTAAATGCATTTTCTCAGATTTACACTATTATATGGTGTGTTACACCAATTGTGATTTCGTCTGTATTAATATGGTTGTTGATGGTCCTGTATGTTAAATGATGTTTGTTGTTATTGTTGTTATGTGATATTTCAATAAATTTCTTTAAATAAAAAAACAACAACACCCAATGCTGCGGTAACATATGTACCAGTTCCTAAGACCTCTTGGGAAGGTTTTTTTTTTAAAAAAATAATAATAATAATAATGATATTATTCCACTCATGTGCTGAAAGATCTGCACTGGCTGCCCATCTGTTTCAACTGTGGGGCTGCAAGCCAGGTGCAGAGGAATGGTGGGGGACAGGTGTGCTGGTTCAATTGCAATTCTGGGAGAACTCCAGGCGCAACCTGGAGACTGGCAACCCCAAGAGGGCCCACGAATGGTATCGTGCCCCAGGAACCCCCTCCCAAAGCCAGAAGCTGGTAATGATCCAAGGCATCTGGAATATATTGCATTCCCCCCCCCCCACTTACTGCAAAATAAGGCTCCTTTCGAGAAAAAGTAGGAATAGATCTCCAGTTTGGGGTTGCAGCCAAGTGATGACATCTTTCCATAGCAACAGTCATGGGCATGGCAACACCTGATGATTTCAGACAGGAGGAATAAAAAAAAAAAAGAATCACCATTTTATAGTGCTTGTAGTCCAAAAGCAGACACAGGTGACCCCCCCCCAAAAAAAACCCCAGCCAAAGCTGCGGTAACATATGTACCAGTTCCTAAGACCTCTTGGGAAGGTTTAAAAAAAAATAATAAAAAAATGATATTACTCCACTCATGTGCAGAAAGATCTGCACTGGCTGCCTATCTGTTTCAACTGTGGGGCTGCCAGCCAGGTGCAGAGGAATTGTGGGGGACAGGTATGCTGGTTGCATACAACCTCTCATCTGGTCAAAACCAGAAGTGTCAGGATTTTGGGGACAATGATCTAACTTTTCTAGTTGCAGAAAAGGGCAACTAGAATGATAAAAGGGTCGGAACACTTTTCCTATGAAGAAAGGTTAAAGTGCTTGGAGTTCTTTAGCTTGGAGAAACGACGGCTGAGGGGGTGACATGATCGAGGTTTATAACATTATGCATGGGATAGAGCAGGTAGAGAAAGAAGTACTTTCCTCCCTCTCTCACAATACAAGAACTCGTGGGCACTCAATGAAATTGCTGAGCAGTTGGGTTAGAACAGGTAAAAGGAAGTACTTCTTCACCCAACACATTGAATTCACTGCCACAGGAGGTGGCGGCGGCTACAAGCATGGACGGCTTCAAGAGGGAATTAGATAAACGTATGGAGCAGAGGTCCATCAGTGGCTATTAGCCACAAGGTATAGGTAGGAACTCTCGGTCTGGGGCAAGTGATGCTCTGCATTCTTGGTGCTGGGGGGGGCAACATTAGGAGGGCTTCTAGTGTCCTGGCCCCACTGCTGGACCTCCTGATGGCACATGGTCTTTTTGGCCACTGTGTGACAGTGAGTGTTGGACTGGATGGGCCATTGGCCTGGTCCAACATGGCTTCTCTTATGTTCTTATGTCTGGGGTAGGCAGTCATGCCCTGTATTCTTGGGGCTTGGCGGGCAACAGTGAGAGAGTTTCTGGAGTTCTGCCCCTGCTAGTGGACTTCCTGGTGCACCTGGTATTTTCGGCCATGGTGTGACACAGAGTGTTGGACTGGATGGGCCACTGGCCTGATCCCACATTAGCTTCTCTTATGTTCATATGCTCTTAAGTAGGATTTACCAGTTTCTGCGGTAGGCTACTTATAAGTATAAAGGTTTTCTAAAAGAACCTCCCCATGTCAGAACCTCCCCTTTCCTACCAGATCAAGCCTGTTTATTCTCAGTCCTACTTGGAGGTGATTGATACAAACCTTACAGCTAGGGTTACCAACTCCAGCTTGGGAAATTTGTGGAATTGGGAGGGAGGGTTATGCCTGGGGAGGTAGAGTTTGGGGCAGGCCGGGAGCTATGGTTCCCAGCTTCCAGGTAGGGGCTGGAGTTATCCCATATTACAACTGACTTCCAGACTGCAGAGATCAGTTCCCCCGGGAGGTGAAAAACACCACTTTGGAGAGCGGTCTCTATGCCATCACACTCCTGCTGAGCTCCCCCGTCCCCAAATTCCACTTCCCCCAGCCTCCATCCCCAAATCTCCAGGAATTTCCCTACCCATAGTTGGCAGCACCAACCATAAGGAATAAGGAACAAATAAGGACCTGGGAATAAGGAACCAACTTCCTCTTCCTCTTCCACTAGACTTCCAAGCAGTGCTGAACTGTGTCTTTGGAAGGAAAATTTCCTGGACATTTTAAATCTGCACATTCCAAATTCCTTTTTTGTTTTGATTAACGGTATACCAAAAATGGCCTAAACATAACACAGATCCATTTTATCCCAAATATATTATGCCTTTGGTTTAGAGTGAAAGAAGGTAAATTCAGTGGGACTCCTCAATGGGGCAGGGGGGGGGCTATTTTCTATTTTAGCACCTCCTCCCAGGATCTCTTCCAATTACCAGTCAGTTTCATCCAGGGGCTGTTTGGAGCCTCCCAGTCCACAGTAGCATCCATAGCCATTGTAAAACACTGTTGAAAGCTTACCAGTTACCTGCCGGACCATGTCAGCAAACTGGATCAGGTTGCCATTTGCTAATGCGAAAGCTGCAAGCAAGAACATAAGACGAGCCCTGCTGGAGCGGACAACGTTCCCTCTTATTTTTTCCCTTACTGAGTGGAGCAGTTCGCATCCTGAGCAGAATAGAGCTGCTGTAATCTTAAAATGGGCAATGGGCAATGCAAGACCCTGCATGGCTCCAGACTGCTGCTGAGCGGGGCTTCCTGTGTTAATGAGCAGCTGCTCACACACGCAGCTTCAAGGGAACACTGAATCAGGCCAGTGGTGTAACTGGTCCAGCAGCCTGTCTCACAGAGTGGCCAATCAAGTCTCCTGGAGGACCAATAAACAGGACACAGAAGGCAAAGCCTGCCTATGATTGTTTGTTTGTTTGTTTGTTATTTCGATTTCTATCCCGCCTTGCCAGATGAACTGGCTCAAGGCGGCTAACAAACATTAAAATACAGCAAACAATAAATACACCAAAATGTCCATAAACAGCATAAATACACTAAACAATAAATACACTAAAATTTCCATAAACAGCATAGATTACAATGAAAGCAATACAAATGATGGTGGCATTCAGTATACAATCCTCTGATGGAAGGCAATGTCCAACGGTATGTCAAAGGGCCATGGTGTATTCCGGCGGCTCATTCGTCAGTGGCGGCTCCTACTCGAAAGCCTGGTGGAAGCAGTGCTCTCTGGGGCACATACGGGGAAAGGCGGTCCCTCGGGTAGGCAGGCCCCAGACCATATAGGGCTTTAGAGGTAAAAACCAGCACCTTGAAATGAAACTTGTAAGCTATTGGCAGCCAGTGCAGTGCCTTCAGCACAGGCTGGATGTGGTCCCATATAGAGAGGCCCATCAACAGCCTGGCTGCTACATTTTGCATGAGCTGCAGCTTCCGGATTTGAGACAAGGGCAGCCCCATGTAGAGAGCATTGCAGTAGTCTAATTTCGAGGTGACCATGGCATGGATCACTGTTGCCAGGTCATTGCATTCGAGAAAGGGAACCAACTGCCTAATCAACTGTAGGTGGTAAAAGGCTGCTTTGGCAGTGGCTGCTACCTGGGCCTCCTGACTATGGTATCCAGAGGTTTACTCCCTCTGAATTTGGAGGTTTCCTCTAGTCACTGATGCATATTTTCCGGAACACCAAAATTGGATAGATCCAAGTAGTCAGCCATGTTGGTCTGAAGCAACAGAACAAATTTGGAGTCCAGTGGCACCTTTAAGACCATCAAAGGTTTATTCAAGGTATGAGCTTTCGTGTGCCTTGAATAAACCTTTGTTGGTCTTAAAGGTGCCACTGGACTCTAACTTTGTTCTACCAGAATTGGAGACAGACACCTTCTGAACTGCTAGAGATGACAGATCCTTTTCCTTCTTTCTCTAGATCTTGTTCCTAAATTCTATCGTAATGGCCCCCTCCTGCCCCCTCATGTTTATGGGAAAAGCAGAGCAAACACCTGGTCAAAGTGCAACATCTACCCAGTGTATACAGTTCAAATTTTATTTACTTATTTAGGAGAGCCAGATTTTAGTTTAGTGGCACCTTAGAGACCAGCAAGATTTTGGGGGTATGGACTTTTGAGAGTCAAAGAGCCCTTCATCAGATATAAGTAAGCTCGACAACTCATACCTTGAAATTCCTGTCGGTCCCTAAGGTGCTACTAGACTTGAATAGAGCTCTTCTACTGCAGACCAATACACCTACCCCCTGAAATTATTTATTTAGGACATCTTTAACCTGCTCTTGTCCATAAAATACAGACCCAAAGCAGCTTACAATATTCAAAACACACAAAGGACAATCAATTTTCACAGACGCGGTGAGGCAAGCATGCACAGAGGCGGTGAAAATCGTGCAAAACAGCTTGTGATGATTACTTCTTGAAAATTTTTCCAAGTGTTAAGACAACAGAGGAGAATAAGGGACAACAAATTCAAGGAATACAAGGGCCGAGTGATAGGCTTGAAGTGAAACTAGAAATAGAGACTTATATTACTCGGCCCAGATACAAAGAAGACGAGCTACGAGAGCTGAATTCTCCGGAAACTAAGGTTGAGAACCAAAGTACTGTGAAAGCAGACAAAGGGAAAAGAGACTTTTTGGTACCAGCCTATATAAATAGGAAGAAACCATTAAGAAGGTGTAAATTAAGGGAAAGTGACGCGAAAGTTAAGGGCCTTAAAGGTGTAAAGAGAACTGTGAAAAAGGCTGAACAATTAATTTGGAAACTGGCAAGCACAAACAGTGAAATACAGGAATACAAAAATTTACGCCATGTAGAAGAAAACAGAAGAAATGAGGATAGGAAGAAAATTGTACTCATTGTTACTGCAATGTTTATAAATGCTTGTGACCAGTTTGCTGTAAGCAGCTACCTGTCTAAAGGTTTAAATGTTGTTTCAATATCGAACGTGTGGTTGAACGGAGAAGTGATATTATGATGAAAAAAGGGTTTAATTAATTAATGTAAGCAGTTACCTATCTAAGGGTTTAAATGTTGTTTCAATATTGAAAGTGTGGCAGAACGGAGAAGTGATACCATGATGAAAAAGGGTTTAATTAATTAATTTAATTAATCTTTTTCCCCCTTTGTTTTTGTTTTTCTTTCTTTCTTCTTTTATACTATAAGATAATATATTCCATAAATTTATGGGAAAAATAACGTATGAATTTGTAAGGAAATCCTGAAATTGGAGATTCAGGATAGTGTATATGGTAAAAAATCATTTAGGGGTATAAATATGTGGAAATTAGATTTGGGTTAAGTTTTGACACAAATTAATCGATACTGCGGCAATGTTATAGATTATAAGATATGGATTGCTCCTAGGATTGAGTAATTTTTCAGGATATTTGAGTTAATACCAATAATAATTTAGGGTTTGGGTTTTTTTCCTCAGGCATGAAGAAATAGAAATGAGTTAGAAAGTGAAGAATTATATGGAGGGGGAATATATAAAGGGAATAAACACATAAATTAGAGGATAAAAGGGGGGTGATTGAATGAATTAACTGTATAATTAAATGTTGGGCTCAAGGAGATGTAGTAATCGAAATAAGGAATTTTGTTTGTTTTGTTAGTGTTTATATGTATGTTGGTCTTTAATTTGTAAAATCAATAAAAAATTATTAATTTTTTTTCACAGTTATGCAAAATAATCAAATACAAGCCCCCACTGCTGGTTTACCGGGACTGCTACTGCATTCTACACAGGGCACTGTCTGTAATGGGAGGCACATCCCATTAGGTGCATCTGCACACACACGTATGAAAATCCCCAACGTTGTGTGGGTTGATATTGAAGATTATGGAATGTGCTGAAATGGACAGATAGACAAATACTTTAAAAGGAAAAATGGAAGAAGAATTGATGGGGCCTTGGTGGGTGTTTTATGACTGGTTAAAACTTAAAATAAAATTAAATGAAGAATAATAAGAATGATAGATGTAGTAGTTGTGAAGTTCTAATGAGAAGATTTGCATGCAGAATGTTACATTGGATTTTTTTTCAGATATATACTTCTGTATCTTTCCTTTTTCTCCCTTCTTTCCCCTTTTCCTTCCTCTGTACATAAACTAATAAAATTCTTTTTTTTAAAAAGAAAAGAAAATCCCCAAAGTCTTTGGCTTACACTTACCACAGAGGAGAAGCAAAGGGACTCATATTTAGGCAGCTACCAATTAAGTAGAATGGTAAAAGAATAAGTCATACGAATGTGTCATAAGGCAAGAAAGTACAGGAAAGCCAGAGAGCTATAGGGTGTTCTTAGTATGTATACAGACTATTTCTATAATCACACACTTGTGTGTTCTGTTCCTCTTTGGGAACGAAAGGATGTGCAAATATTGATACTTCTCATCAAGATCTGTTTGATTAATCAAGGTGTATCCAGGACCAGCCCGCTCACAGAACTGACAGGTCATATCTGTGACGTCCTCCTTATTGGGGAGGACTAGTTTCACTTTAAAAGTGTTCTTTATTTTCTTTTACTGGGTATATACGGCTGCCACCAGGAAATTTTAAGGATTTCCAAATCTTTATGCTTTTACTATTGCTCTTTTTTATTTGGTAGACCGAGTTCAAGGCTTACAGGGATCTATGTGGTCCTGGGAAGCATTTCATTCAGAGCTGGTATAAACTTGGATGAAAGAGGATTTATTGAAATAACTACTAAATAAGAGGGTTGTACAATGTAACTAGTAATGTATAAATGATGAACAATTGCTTCCGGGTGACGTGCATGCGGTGCGCGCTCACACAAGACGCCGGCCGGGAGCTCCCCCGCTCTGGGCAAAGATATACTTGACAACCCTACATCATCACACTGGGGACATTGCACAGCGACGCTCTGGTATTTTGGGCAAAACTCTATGGTAACCATGGTAACCATAGAATTCCACCCAAAATGCCAGAACGTTGCCATGTGACATCCCTGGCTTGATTATGTTACTTCCATGTAACATCATCACGTTAGGATTTCACCCTGTCCCACCCCCCACTCTCAGAAATCTCCCTCCTACCCGCCACCAGTGAGAGCCTCGACCTGGCAACCCTAGTCAGGACTTATCTTGAGGATGGCAGATACCCTGGGAAAACTACATTTCCCAGAGTTCTTGGGATGCTGCCATAGCTGCATTTGTCCTGGATGCCAGGGAAAACATGGATGAGAGATAATACCTTCCTTCCTTCACAGAGTGGCAGCTAGGGCTGCCAGCTCTGGCTTGGGAAATACCTGGAGATTTGGGGGGGGGGTGGAGCCTGAGGAGGGTGGGGTTTGAGGAGGGGAGGGACTTCAATGTGGTACAATGCCATAGAGTTCACCTTACGAAGCCGCCATTTTCTCTAGGAGAACTAAGGTTGCCAGACACCCCGATTTAGTTCAGCGGGTGTTTTGTGTCTCCCAGAGTCACGTGGGCCCTTTTCTCCTCACAATAGGGGTGTGCAGGCAGAAGTAGCCACTGCCTTCCCCTCCAGGCTGTTCTCTGTTCGTTGAAGCCCCCCCGTGGAGTTGCTGTCGGATCTCTCTGTGAAAGCACGTTGCTTCCACGAC